TAAGTGGGTGCTCTAGCACCGATCACTTCATGAAATAATCAAGCAAAGTTAGTGAGCAAACGCTCATCGTAGTAGATCAGCCAAGCATCAGAGCACACTTAATCAACGACGTGTGTTGCAAGTTATTCAAACTCATATATATGTACATACATACCATACATACGTATTTGTATATACTATAATATATTTAAAGCAGCGTTAGTGTTTTTGCGCTCCCTCCAATTATACTGAAGACAAACTACATTCATTAAGAAAAATCGATATTTCGCATAGAAACCCTTAAAATTTCGCTATACCCTTCTGGTCACTCTTCGAGTTTTCAGCGCTGCAAAAAGCGTTGAATATTTCTGAGGACCAAAACTTGGATCATGGAGACATTTGTATGCCGCTTACGCGGTTATAGCTGAGTTTACACCAGCGCGCCAGTCCTTTTTCCTACCTCGATTGGAGATTCCAAGTATAGAAAGGTCCTTCTCCACCTGCTCTTTCCAACGGAGTGGAGGTCTGCGGCCAAGTTGCGAATGCGAGGACTATTTGTTTGATGGCCGGAGATGTTTCGCCTTGCCCTTGAGCTTTTGGTATTGCTCAACGTCAGTTTTCACAGCCGTATTACCGACATAAAGGCATCTCCTTTTCGTGCTGTCAGGAAACCTTTGAAAACAACGAAGAGTTGATATGTGTCGATCTTTGCAAGATTTGACTCATGGTGAATCTCTGGTCAGTTGTTGATTTGACAGACCTGCAGCCACACTGCTAAGGTCTAATCAGTTTAACCTTTCACACAATACACTCGATAGAATCTTATATGTGATGTTGAGGAGGCTTATCCCGCGGTAGTTGGCGCAGATTGTGTTCCTTTTTGTGAATTGGGCAGAGCACTTCGAGTCAATGTTATAATCTCGGAGAACACAGGATACGTATCTTGAGTCTATCACAACATGACCAATCAGGTTGGTATCTTTTCGATCCGGAGATCGATGAATTTTCCTATGCTGGAATTTGTACTACAAATAACCATATTTCGGGCGCCATAGTAGTGGATCAGCCTCAACCCTTTAAGGATGTTTCATTATGAAGGCTTACATCGTGGCGGCGGGGCACACACATAGAAGACATCTTTGCTGATATCGTCATTCTCTTCCATCGGAGCTTGGGCGCAAATCATCGATATGTTGTAGAACTTCGCTTTGATGCGGATTATGGCTAGACGTAAATCCACTCGGCGACAAAATTTCTCTCTTACCACACTTCCAACACCGAATTTGCGCTCCATTATATGACCACTGTAGTAAATGCCACAAGGACCTACTCGTCTCAGTCCGTGTCCCGTCCATCGCACTTTTTGAATGACGGTTATGTCAGCCTTTACTCTTACGAGGACAAACAGCTGGGCAGCGGCACCTTCTCAATTAAGGAAACGGACATTCCAGTTGCATGTCCTTAATTCGTAATCCTTAATACGTTGGCAGTGATTCTCATCAAAAGGGGGCCTCTCTTCCAAGGCTGTTCTGTTCTTTTCTTTGGTAGTGTTTTTTACCTGGCGGGACCAACGTCTGGATCGCTTCAAGTCATGAGGACCCAAGATGTTGTAGCGGTTATCTAATTCCTGGGCAAAGGTTGTAGATGAGTGGGATACTTTGAGTAAAGCGATGGTTTCACGTGGTCAGACGGGGACACATTGCACGCAATATATATATTTGGCATGTCGGAGTCGATTTTGGGTATGAATTAAATTTCTACGAAAGCATCCCAGCAGCAAGCGCTTAGGGAGGTGAGCATTGTGTTCCTTAACCTCAAAGCTGCAGGTCTCACTATGAACGTGTTCAACGGGAACGAGCTTTACAAGCCAGTCATGCGACCATATCGGTGCTGCGGATTTAATGAAATAATGAATATCGAATGCCTTATAAGTTGTCAACAAGAGTTCTTTTTCTTTTCTCATTTTTCTTTTTGAGAACTGGTTTTCTATAAGGTATCGGTGATAGTCGGAACTTATCAAAATTTTTACATTATTCTTACACAAAACCAACAGCTTTCAGACATTTGATGTGGTTTAGAGATCTTACACTGCCGACGTAGCTATATTACCCTTACCCTTATATTTTCCGTTCTTAAAAGAATTCTTTCCATTATCAAAAGTGATATTGATATGCGAAGACAGGGTTCTAGCACTAAAGGGAGCAGTTTACTCCCCTCAGCAGAAGTTTTCAGCTTCAATTAAGAAAGATCAACAACTACAGCTTCTGTCATGAACTGTCAGCTGACTTGCCACCGCCTTCCACAAAATATTAGCTGACTCAGTGTGCGCTACAACAACCAACGCCACGACATTCGACTCCACTTCTCTTAACGACATATTTTTTATAATTTAATCAAGATACAATTAAGGTATTATACTCGTACTAGCACTGCTAAGTGTGGATACATATGTCAGCCTATGAATGTATGCATGTTTGTATGTATGTCTGTATGTATGCATAGCATATTGTTTATTTCTTTTGATAGAACAAATTATATTGTCGGCGCGGATGTGTTGCAACATCAGTAAGAAAAGAAAATAAGTAAAGTGAATACTTAACACAACGACAGCAACAACAAATTGTTTGTGCGTGACCCGCTATTGTGGAATGCGTCAATGGCTTTGAGTGCAAGCGTACGCGCGTCGCCCTAGCAATTGATATGGAGGTGTAACATGCAATTGTGCTTACTAGTACACACACATAAACACACAATTATATGTATGTTTTTTTATATATTATTAAAAACTTTTAACATTTTTAATATTTTTTACTTTTATTTTCATTTAACTAAATATCCCATATTTATACATTTGTTTAAAAATTTAAATAAGTTACAAAGTCGACTGTACTCATTTATTATTACCTAAAAATTATTCAATCCTTTCCATGTACATTCTCCGCTTTCTACATGCGTCATCAAATTTTCTTTCGCTTTTGCATTTCATATTACTTCTTTTTTTTTTAAATAACATGCACAAGAACATTAAATTAACTTTAACTTATTAAATTAAATTTGCTTAAAAAGCAAAATTAGAAAATATCAAAAAGCAAGCAGTTAGTCTCTCTTGAATATATTTTTTCTGGCTTGGTGTCTAACTAATTTACCGACTACTTACAAGTAATTTTTCAAATTTAACGAAAAACTATGTTCCTTTTTAAGCGAACATTCACACAACTTGTTATGCATATAAAAAAAAAATTGATTTTTTTTTAAATAAAAACAAATTTTGTGTTCTTAATATTGCAGCCGCTTACGTCTTTATATTTTTTGGAGACCTAAGTTGCGCTTTAAATTGTTACAATTTATGCTTGCGCCACTTGCTCCATACTTCGCTTCTTCTTTCACTTGCTCAGTTCGGCATTTTCATGCCCTGTTGGAACTCTAGCGTCTGTTGTTGTTTTTTCACTTCATCCTGCATTTCCAGAGCCATTTTCTTATATTTCTCCGCCTCCTTTTCATTCTTTTCAATGCCATCGCCACGCGCATACATCTGGCTCAGATTTGCGCATGCGTACATATTACGTAGTTCACAAGCTTTATAGGCAAATTCGAATGCCTTCTTCATATCCTTCTGTAAAATGTAGTCACTGTCTTTCGGTGAGACTTTTTTGATATCCGTAGTGCTAACCTGTGTTGACGCTTCCGGTTTCTTTTGCACGCCGGAAATATGCATGCCAGAGAGGTAGAAGCAGGCGGTGGCATTATTCATGTCGCAGCTCTTCGACAAGTATTCGATGCCCTGTAAAGGAGGAAATAAGTAAGAAATTTATAATGCGAAAAACGGTATAAACTCGTATTTTTGCTACATGCTAATTGTCGTTTGTAAAATCAAATGTTGTCTTAAAATATAATATTAAAATATTACATTTTTGTATTGTTTTTGTTTCAAATCGTATGTGAGTTCAGGCACATGCACACTCTTAATACTAAGCGATATCTCAAAAGTGTTATATCATTAACACGTCACACACTTGTAAACATATCAACACAAATATATTACTTTAAAACGCATTAACAAATTAAACAATTAGCATATCTACTAACTAATACCGTTTCTTTATACCTTTGGCACATTACGGTCGATTTCTTTGTGCATGGAACGCGACACCAATAGCAATCCTGTATGCAAACATGCATCGGGATCGTTGAGTTCACACCCTTTCTCATAGTATGTGTACGCACTACGCGGATCACCCTTGCTCCCACTTTTGCCCTTACCCAAGAAGCTGTAATTACCGAATTTGAAACAGGACTTCGCATAACCGTAATCGTCACATGTAGATTTGTATACTTTCGCTGCCTTTTCAAAGTCCTTCTTTATGCCCTCCAAATAATCGCCCAAGAGATGACAAACTATAATGTATAAGTTAAGCTGTGTTAAACAAAGTGTGTACGTGCATTTTGTGTAGTTGATAAATGTAACAAATATACAAAGCAAACGCTTGCGAAACAGGCGCTAATACAATGGGGAGGTTAGGTACCCCCGGCACCCTCGTAGACTTGAGTGAAGTGATTGCATATGCGGCTGTTGTCTTTTGCTTTGCATGCCATTAGCAATTTACCCTCCGGTTTCTTCTCCGAATAACAGCCAAAACGATATTCGACGCCCAGTTTATCTAAGTACTCCTTAACATCGGATTCTTTCTTTAAATCGTAAGCCATTGTTTACAGCTTTTTCTTAGATATTTAACACTTTTAATTTCAGCGACGTCTGGAGAAATGGAAATTTGCCGTAATAAAGTAAAATTTGCCGAAATCTAGTGAACTGTCAAAATCACTTGTAGAGCAAGATTGCCAAAACCGCTTGTTTTTTTTTTGAGATTTATTATAAAAGTTTGAAAAAAAAAAACGTTTTGAGAAAACTTATATTCAATAAGATAATTGATACAATAATTAAAATTTTACTTATTATTTGAATAGAATTAACTTTTTTTTATTTTTTGAAACGAAGTAATTAATTATTTTTATCTCTTTATTAGCAACAAAGTAACCCTGAGTAATTCACAACTAGATGTCGCTCTCGTGTAAGCAAACTGACAGTTAACGGAAATTAAATTTGTGGAGTCATGCAGCGAGTCAATTGTTGCATTCTCTTAAAGATTTAAATATATTTTTTTAATATTGAATATAATTTTCATCCAAAGCATGATAAAAGTGGTAAAGGTGGCTTAAAGTGTGTAAATAAGAAGCAGAAATTATGAAGTTATTAGAAAAAGTGATTCAAGTGCAATAGCAAAGCGCCTAGCAGGCATAAACGCCACGCTGCTTTATGTGTTAAAATCGTCAACAGGAGCTTTGCTTATGCTCCTTTTTTCTAACATTTACGCTTCTGTAGAGTAAATTTGGTGTAAAGTGCATTAAATGTTAAATATTATTAAGTATTCATCATGAATACTCGAAAGTGTTACATCTCAATTATAGTGTGCATGCACGACCGAATAATGTGTGCAGGTGTTCGGAGCTTCGATTTTATATTACAAAACAGCAATAATTATATTAACGATGTATGAAGTATACAAGAATATCTCTGTTGGTGTGGAGCTGCAAACTCTTACTTAATCAGTTACTACCAACACGGCAGCATCTGAAACGGTAAGTTTTATTTTTAATTTTTTAATATAGTTTTAAGAGTGCCCTTCGTAATCCTCTGATATATTTTGAAGAATCGCTGCGAACTCTTTTGATGTATAGTGCTAGTATGTCAATATTAATGACGTCTAATCAAATCTCAATTTCCAAAAAGCGTTTAAATAGGGCAGCAAAAGTTGTTAGTTTATTAGGTTTCCATTTTTTTTTTTTAATCCTTACATGAACATTTTCATTATTCAGCAATATTTTCAACATATATTTGTCTGTCTGTTTACAAGCACTTTATCTACTACAAACATGCGGTTATGCGCCTAAATAAGTGCTTTGTGATATTATTGTTTAATAAATTTGTATTGAATGCTTTAATACCTATTAAAATGCGCTTATACATAATTATTGTACGCTTAACAACTCATATGAGTGTGTTTACCTTTAATATACCAATATTCAACAGTTTTTAAGTTAGAAATTAAAGCTCAGAGGAAGGGTGGGTTGGGTAATAGAAGAGTGGGCAATGCCATATGTAGTTAGTGGAAATGTGAAATAAAGTTGAAGTGGAAAATAATTTCAAAAATGACAAACACAAATTTAGAGTATTTAAAGCGAAACTTTTAAGGATCTATATACTGCTGAAGGAAAAATATGTTGCTAATGTTTTAATAATTATACAAATAATAGAGCTATTTTTTTTTCTTTTGTTCTTGCTGCTCTCTAAAAGTTATTTAAAATTAATTATGAGGAATGGTGGGTAGGGTGATAAAACACCTGAATTGGGTGACAGTAGAAATATAAAAGAGATTTTTATTGAAAAATATACAAAACATTAATATTGAATTCTTTAAAATTATCAAACCAAAACTATTAAGGACCTACTACTAAAGGAAACCTATGTTCATATTTTAAAAATTTTATATTTTGAATCCCAAAATTAGATTAAAATTAAATTTTTATTTCAAAATGTTTGAGATTAAAAATTGATTTTTTTTTTATTTTCAGTATTATGATTAAAATCTAGTTTTTAATTCAATTGTTGTTGGTATTAAAACTCGAAATTTTGAAAATTTTATTTTCAATAGAAAATTTTGAAAATCTTATTTTAAATTTGTTATCTCAAAATCAGTACTGTGTTCAAAATCCAGCTTTAATGCAAGGTGTTGCTATTAAAATAAGAAATTTTTGTAAA